CACACACACACACAGACACACACACACACACACACGGCTTTAAAGATTCATCTGATTCTCTTCACTGTTTCTATTTCAGCTTTTTATTCTTCTAAAGCTTTAAAAAGTGGGTAAAACATGAAATGATGAAAAGTGTTTATAATAAAAAATAAAAATATAAAACACAGAATATAAATAAAACTATAAATATGTTTGTTTATAATAACAGCTGTTTGTCTCAACTCACATGTTACGTATTAAAAAACTGAAGCTTTACTTGATGAATTTTTACACAAACTGATCCCAGATTTCAATCGAGCTCATTTCTTTAAAGTGATTCTCAAAGTTGTGGTCGAGAGACCTTCTGTGGGTCATGAAACATCAAGTGAGGGTCCCCACTAGGTATCATGGCCAGTTCTCGAGATCAGTGGTTCCCAAACTTTTCAGCTTTTGACCCACAAAATAACAGTAGCAGAGACCTGAGCCCCCAGATATTTTCGGAAGATAAACATTTGTATCAGGTCAACAAAACATGGGCATAGTAAAAATTTATCAATTTAAGTATACTAACCTCACTCCTTTGTAACAACTAGGGCAAAAATGTAATTAATTCTGAAAATCTTTTCAGGACCCCAACTTGATGTTTCGGGACCCCACTTTGGGTCCCGACCCCAACCATGGGAAACACTGCTCTAGAACGATATGATTCATAAGGTTCTGAATCAATTAATTATGATTGGATTTGACAGGGTTCCCGTAGATCCTTAAAAAGTCTTAAATCAGTCTTTCAGAGGTCTTAAATATGTCGACACATAAGTAGGATGATTGTAATTCCTCTCAAATATTAAAAGAATTTACAACATTTATTTATCGTTTTAAATAATTTATTGAATGCCACTCGCAGCTAGTTGTTTTGTATTAAAATAAACATTTGGCTAAAATTGTCGCTAACTTTTTTTTTACCCATTTGTGTTTATTGTGGTATTGGTCTTAAATTTAATTTCGAGTGGCGTTAAAGAGGTCTTAAAAAGTCTTAAACTTAGCTTGCCTTAAACTGTAGGAACCCTGTTTGATTCAGACTTCTCTTAAATAATAAAAATGGTTCAAATGTGTTGCAAAATTATATATATTTTTTCTCTTCATCATAAACAACAGGTTTTAAGGACAAACTTTTAAATTAAACAGTTTAATCTTGAAGGAAAGCTGTCACAAGTTTAAAAGTTTTAAAGAAAAAAGAAATTGCAGGTGACAGTGTTGTTAGGAATTAATTTAAGAAATTAAAAATTTTCTTGATAAATAAGAAGTGATGGAATAATGCTGCAGGAGAAGACGTGGGCTGATATAAATATACTTCTGCCCACTCTTTAAATGTATGAAAACTGTATATTTGTAACGTTTCTGTTAGCTTCTGTAATGTTCAATATAACTTTCTAGTTGCTGCGTGTCGTTGTGTTACAGACTGGCCTCTAGATGTCGCCCAGTTTTCATTAACTGGTTCTTAAACCCAGAATTGTTCCACACAGTTGTTCAGTGGTTTAAAAAAGTTTCTATTTCTTTGCACTGAAAGGTTTCCTCTTCAGCAGATGTTGCTCTGGTTTAACCATTGACCTGTATTACTGGACTGGACATCAGGCACAGCTGCCATTGCGCTGCACTGAGTTTTATTTATACATACAGTATGTGTGTGTGTATGTATATATACCTTGTGTAAAGCTGTCAGTGTACCTCCTGTAAAACTATGCATGAGTACTTTGTGTAAAGCTGTGTGTACCATG